GCCACTGAGCCGTTAAGGTCCGCCACCCAGTCCTCCCTAGGCCAGACAAAATACGGCCACAGCGATTTAATCGACCACTGCGCCATGCTCTGGAGCAACAGATCCTGAGCGCAGGCGCAGTGGTTGATATTCGCCTGGATGAAGCTTAATGGGGCCGTTATAGGCATTCCATTTCAGCTTCCTCCACGAGGGGCCCCTCTGCGGGCGTCGGTGTCGCGGCAGCAGCGGCGGCGATAGTGACAGCGGTGGCGGCGGCAGTTGCGGCTGCGGCGGAGGCCACAGAGGCGGTGGCGGCGGAGGGCCCTCCCCTCCCCGCGACCTTGGCCTTGGCGGGTGGCACGCAGGCCTTGCTTCCGGCCCGGTGATCGGCTGACTTGCCGGCCGCCGCACATGCATCACAGTGCGGCTTGGCGCAGCAGGTCACCGATATGTGTCCGGGCTGACAGCAGCGGAAGCAAAGGACACTGCGGTCAACCTCCGAGGCGCATCTCACTGATACGTGGTGCCCCACGAGACAGCGATAGCACCTCAGAGGTCTGGGCTCCAGCAGCTTAACCTGCGCTGAGACCCAGCCCACCAGAAGCCTTCGGCCCTCAACTATGGTTTTGGCCGCCGTAACAGGGCAGCACACCGTGGCGGCATGCATGCCCTGTTGGTCCGGGCGTATGGCGCCTGACCTGACCTGGTCAGTAGTGCACCCCCCGGACCTGGCGACGGCGGCCACCAACTCCTCCTCCGATACCGAGTCGTCCAGACCCATGATGCGCAGGTCTGCGCATCTGACGGGCCTGGACACCCAGGCCTCGTCCGCGTCCAGAGACGTTCTGAGATTCGCAGCCAGAGCGTCCGCGATCGCGCCACTGGATTCCCCGGGGACCTCCAGCATACGGGCCCCCGTCTGGGTGACTTTGAGCCGCAGGCCTCCGGTGATCCCGAGCTCCCCGAGATCCACCGCCACCTTCGCGAGCAGATCGCGGTAGGTAACGCCCTTCTTTTCCGCGTCCGGCTGTAGTGTAATCACTACAGCTGCGGTCTTCGGGGCACGGAGCCTAGCCGCGATCTTGCGCGCCCTGAACTGGCGCTGCCGCTCCTGCTCTTTGGACTTTTTGGCTGCCTTCTTCCCCTTCTTCTTGTCCCCGACCACCTGCCAACCGGCTTCAGCCGTGGGAGGTGAAGGGAGCTGGGGGGGGCGGTGACGGCGGCGGCAGCTGGCTTGCAGCCTTGCTGCCTGGCAACTGCAGCCCCGCCCGAGGGCTGGCTGGACGGCCCGGCCTGGATGCGGCAGCCGTGGCCGCTGCGTACGAGACCGTTGTCGGCCTCGCTGCCGTCTTGTTTGCCCCTAGGGGGGGGGGGGCGCAGGACGATGCCCTCCAGCACGGAGAACCGGTGCTGGAAGGCAACCAGCTCCTGCCGGACCAGGTTCAGAACCTGGTTCTCCACCGGCACGGGCTGGCTTGGGCGCTGGGTCTGGGGCGCCGCGCGAGATGCAGGCTCACGTAGACTGGTCAGGTCTGCGTGGAGCTTCTCGTTCTCCTTCCGGAGAGTCTCCATGGCGGACGTCAGGCGGGCCACGTCCGCCCGCAGCTTCGCCACCTCGTGCGCATTAGGCCCGGCCCCAACAAAGTTGGCCTCCGCAAAATAGAAGCCTACGACTTCTATTTTGTTCACTTGTTGCACCCCAATTTTTCCCTACCGTAAAAAATCATCCAGTATATTGTGGACTGATTTTGACAATATTATTTGAAATAGATATATTACGCACATTTGCTAGCTGGCACTAGCATATTCCAACTGAACTGTATTGTTTATTGTATAATTCACGGTACAATAAGCAATCATATTTCCATTGATAATTATTACCGTGCAATTATCGGCAGTATTTAGCTTTGTTAGTTTGAGTATCTGAAGTTATTGCATTAGTGTTGTAAATGCGTTACATTTTATTTTATATCCTGGATTATTGTAAACATACTTTTTCCACAATTAATCGTTCATCGTCACCTCACCTAAAGAATTCCCAAAACACGGCTCAAAACCACATGCAAACATTGACTACCTGCATGTTGCACAAGGTTCTTACTATATCTAGTGGGTTACCTAACGCCCGAAATTAATAATGTATCTCGAATCCAAGATTAACCACAATCTTGGATTGGTGCATGTCGTTCGATTGATCTTCTATCCGCATGCCAATAACTCAACTCGGCTATCCCAATTTTTTTTCGACGACAGATTGCAAGCAATCCTCTTGATCGTACCTTTTGATGTAAAATATCGATTGCATAAAACTATAATAAGTGTGTTTTAAAAATAAATCGTTTACGTAACTACTTAAAAACTCGTTCAAAATTATGTTTGTAGTTAGAACGAGTAATATTATGTCTAAAAATTTACGGAAATTATAATTTCACAGTCTATTCTTGGTATTAAAACTATGACATTATTTAGCTGAAATGGAACGTACGATGTTAGGCGTCTTACGTTTGACATATTTTGATTTTGACAGGTCGTTTCGTTTTGATTGCGAGTTGCGACGTAAGTTATTTCCGTGTAGCAAACTTAAGAAAATATTCTCTTGTTTTAATATATATATATATATATATATATATATATATATAATAGTACAATGGATTCAGAAATCGTAAGTATTTTTTTATATAATATGTTTCTAAGTTAGCGTCCTTTCTTTATGACTCCTACTATTCCCGACTTATTTGTAACATTGATGTTAATCATTATAATTTTCTTTTACTAGGTAAAAGGCAAACCTTTTTGCTTGACCTAATAGAATGTAGTAAAATAATAAGCACCAAAACAACCAACGCCACAAACAACAAACTAAAAACTGAAAGAGTGGATTCGTTTGGCAGAGCAGTTTAATGCCACAGCTACGAATTGTCCGAGAACACCAAAGCAGTTGCGTTTGAAGTGGGAAAATTTAAAAAAGAACTCCCGCAAGTGCAGCTCCCTAATAAGGATGAACCAAATTAATGTTATATATTTCTAACACATGTATATCTTTATAGTCTAAGACTTAATGGCATGTTGTAAAATAATGTTAAATCTAATATTCTTGTTGCAGACTGGTGGTGGTCCTGCCGAATATATACCCCCAGATAACATATTAGACCGGGTGACCAGTCTATTAGGAAGTACAATCAGCGGATTTACTGTGCCTTTTGGGGGTGATAAGGAAATGGCTTGGTTTGATGTTTGTGGTGGTGCTGATGGCATAGTTGAAATAAGTGGTGATGTTGAAAAAATTGGAAATGTGACGGTGCAGACACATCAAATAGTGGATTCAAGTGAAACCACAATCTCAACGTCATTATCTAATGAAAAAGGTATTGAGACTGTGGTCGCTGACTACCAAGTGTTGGATGTAGTTGACCAAAATCTGATAACTCCTATTAAAAGCAAGAGGCTTACATTTGGTACACCTAGAGCAGGTAATGGTTGTTTTGTCGATTTTTGATTTATTACCTATTAATGTTTCTTGTTTTTATTACCTCCTTACTTTCTTTAGATTTTTGTAATACAATATTTATTAATTTAACATTGTGGAGGATTATTTATGTAAGGCTTATTTAATTGTGTCCATGCAAGCTATCACATCACATACATCACAGGAAAATCAGACTGTCAGTCATAATCATTTGTTAAAGATCTTTTCTTTATGAGATCAACTCTTTTATGTTAATAGTTATAATCTCATTAAAGTATGTTAACCTGCTTACTAAGTTGGATATAATTGCTTTTTCTTCACACTGAGGTCTTATAGATGAGGTGACAGAATTTTATGAATAATGATGTCTTTGAAACAGCTAAACAAAATCCCATTAACGCATCTACAGTATTATTATATGTTAAATTTTATGAAAAAAGGTGACTGCACTAATATTGATCTCACATTTGATTTGTTTTCCAGTGAAAAAGAAATTTAAGCCAGATGAGAACAGGGCAGCCAGGAACACTGCAATAGCTGAATATTAATCAGCAAAGAAAACAATGCTTGGATGCCAAATTAAATAATATTAACTTAGAAAATGATTACTTTACTTTACTAAAAAAATTTAGAACTTAAATTGAAAAAAATGAAAAGCTTATGTTAGAGATAATTAAAATTAGAATTAAAGAGGTTAAGAAAGCAATAATATCTAGTGTAGTATAACAACTTTAATACCTAATTAGTCTGTAGCTCAGTTGTAGTAAATTTGAATATATAAATGATTGTGTAAATATATAAAATATAAGTAGGTATTGTTTTCAGCTTATATATGGTCTTATTGACCCAGTTGACAAAGCATTGTCTTAATAAAATAATGGTGAAGAATAAAATTATTACCGATAAAACGATTGTTTTCATTACCATTATATTATTATTTATTTTTATAGTTATTTTGAATAAACAGATTTGACCCATTTTACATAGTCTTAAATTTTCAAATAAAAAAAAGTTATAGGTACAGTGAATTCAGGCGTTTAATTTAGTCTAACTTACAAATACAATGCATTAAATACCTCAACTGAGATATTTTTAGCAAACAATTGTTTTTACAGTATTATTTGTTGACACCAAAATTTTAATAATGCGTATAATTATAAGGTCTAACTTGTTTTGAACCAAGTTAAACAATATTTTAAAATATTTGTATTAATTCAATAATCATTAAAATAAGTTAAATTTTCATTTATTGCATTCCCTATTAAAAAAAGAATAAAAAGTCAATGCTATTAGGCTTTCTCTACTAGTCAACCCAAAAAGTCAAATTGTGTTAATATAAATCCTTTATATTTCTATATTTTCAAATAAATTTTTGTAAAAAAAAGTGAAATTGGGCAGTAATTGGATTAAGGTGGGCTAGTTCTTTTTGTAGCATGGGGTTTTCTTAGGATTAAAATTGTGACATATGAACTTTTGGCATTATTGATTTATTGTTTCAAAACAGTTTAAAAAATTATATATAATAAAGCAAACATTGATTTGAAAAGTATTTAATTTATCTACAATAATTATTTATAAGGGCTGCTCTTTCACTAACATCTTGACCTTCCGTATAGTACACTTCATCATTAATTTCCGCTGTTGGCAGCTCCACTTCTGTAGGAACTTTCTCTAAATTGTGGTTCCTACAAATATTGTGCAACACTGCGGTAGCAATTATTAATTCCTGAACCTTAGGCAATGATAAACACAGTGTTAATGCCACAACAGGGAAGTGACGCTTCCAGACACCAAATGTTCTAAAGAAAAGGTGAATGTATATTAGAAGAAGCTTGCTACAAGGTTTTTTATTTTTATTAATATTAAATAATATGGTAGAATTGAGAAACTTCTCCTTTTCTGCTAAAAATAAAATACCTAATACTTGTTAGACGTAAACAAAGTAGTTACCTTTCAATAACATTTCTAGTTTTTATGTGTACTTCATTATAGCGCTGTTCAGCTTCAGTAGCAGGATTTATAATAGGTGTTAACAAATATGGCCTGTTTGGGTAAGCGCTGTCACCAAGCATCCAGCGGTTACCAAACAGACCCGCATCACATTGTGCTGCAAATAAAGACATATTTAATTAAATTATTATAACATTGAAATATAAGAAAAGCTAACAAAACTATTAAACTATTCAGAAACCTCTAAGAATTGAGTTGTTAAATATTGTGGCATCATGGTCGAGCCTGGCCAACGGGAAATCATATTCATGAATCTCAAATCAGTATCATAGATGGCTTGGACATTTAAGGAAAAGTAGCCTTTACGATTCCTAAATTCTTCACCAATTAGATGACCTAGAAAAAAACATAGTTAGTGTACCTTTTTTATAGAATAAGAGTGAAAAACTAGCATGCAGTTCACCTGGTGGTAAGAAGATGCTGTTATAGACCTACATTTGTTCTACATTTAAGATTAAAGTGGCAGATCTGCTACTTTTTCTGGCGTATGTGGACTATGAGAAGCCTTTGATTCCGTCGAAATTTGGGCGGTGCTACAGTCCCTTCAGCGTTGCCAAGTTGACTATCGCTATATCGAAGTGCTGAAGTGTTTGTACAGTAGGGCTACGATGGCTATCTGAGTACAGAACCAGAGTTCGAAACCTATCCAACTGCAGAGAGGTGTAAGACAGGGTGACGTTATATCCCCGAAACTCTTCACCTCTGCATTGGAAGACGTTTTCAAGCTACTGGACTGGAAAGGATACGGTATTAACATCAATGGCGAGTACATCACTCACCTTCGATTTGCCGATGATATAGTTCTTATGGCAGAATCGCTGGAGGACCTAAGCACTATGCTCAATGACCTCAATGGTGTCTCCCAACGGATAGGTCTTAAGATGAACATGGACAAAACAAAGATCATGTCCAATGTCCATGTCACACCTATGCCGGTAGTTGTTGGGAGCACTATGCTCGAAGTTGTTGACGAGTACGTGTACCTGGGACAAATAGTCCGACTAGGTAAGTCCAGCTTCGACCGAGAGGTCAATCGACGGATTTAACTCGGTTGGGCAGCGTTCGGGAAATTACGACACATCTTCTCGACGGGTATACCTAAATCTCTGAAAACTAAAGTGTACAACCAGTTCGTGTTGCCAGTGATGACATATGGAACTGAGACGTGGTCCTTCACTGCTGGCCGTATGAGGACGCTCAAGGTCGCTCAGCGAGCTATGGAGAGGGCTATGCTCGGAGTTTCTCTGCGTGATAGACTCAGAAATGAGGACATCCGCAGTAAAACCAGAGTGACCGACATAGCCCAACGGATTAGTAAGCTGAAGTGGCAATGGGCCGGCCATATAGCTCGAAGAACCGATAACCGATGGGGAAGAAAGGTTCTCGAGTGGCAGCCTCGTACTGGTAGGCGTAGTGTAGGGCGACCCCCACTAGATGGAGTGACGACCTGGTAAGATATGCAGGAAATCGATGGATACAGGTGGCTCAGGACCGTGCTTTATGGCATTACTTGGGGGAGGCCTATGTTCAGCAGTGGACTTGTGAAGGGCTGTAATGATAATGATGATGATGATAAGATTAAAATTTAGATGCATTGTCACGCCTGAGGACTATGATAAAATACCACTGTATCATATTTTACACAGCATATTTAACACTGGTATTCTGTGGGAGTGTAGTTCTTCCCCTTTCGAGCCAACCCATTTGTAGTACATGTTAAAGCTTAGTTTTACCACATACTTAATATAGAAAAATAGTATTTTATAAATGATATTTATTATAAGAAAACAATTTTACCCAATAAAATATTAGGAAATACTCACATGGCGATTGGATTCGTATATGAGTGCAATCAATTGCGACAAGAACTTTAGGAAATCCTTCAATACGATACAATTTTTCAGCATTTTGTTGGTGTACTAAAATGTATTAATCATACAAGTTGGCAATTTCTGATGATATATCACGAACTATTCTGCCAGCTGTTGATATAGAGACTCCAACAAAGTCATCTACAGAAATTAGCATTCTGCATGCCTAATGCATAAAATCTTAGTGTTAATAAAAGTTGATGGAGTGGTGAAACACCATTGTTCCTGAAAATTTAAAACCATTACTGAATACCTACGTAAGTTTAAGTATACAATATTTTGAAATTAAATTGCTTTGTGTTTAATTTAATGTTTTACATCATCTCCATAACGATTTACCTTGCTGAGGTTACACGAATAAACGGTGTGGCCGTAGAAAGAAAAGGGAGATCTCCCGCCGGGCAAGGTGTTCTGCCCGGGGAGCGGCCAACGCTCCATGTGATGGTTTGGAGATGTTCTATATATACTGTTTATGATTCGGAATGTTGATGGCGTGATTTAGGCTTCGGTGAGTTTCGCTTGCGGCGCGACGACAGCACCGCCACATCACCCCCCTGCTCAGACCGGAGGTCGATAGTGCAATCGAGTTGTCGACGAATGTGCAAGCACCAGGAGATTGCCTTGTAGTCTGCGGTGAGTCGAGAAGAAGGCAAGTAATCTGCGAGAGTGCCGTGAAGCAGAGGCGAGCAGTAAGGCTCAGAGCCGTGCCGAACACTGTATAGCGCAGAGAGTAGCTTGAAGGAACAGGAAGCATTATTATTCCAGTGCTGCGATGAACCTTGTGAAGCTAGATGGCTTGCAGGATATGAAGACTGCAGACAATATCAGCTCGGGAGCGAATGGGTGGGGTAATCTATGACGATGATGAAGCTTGAAGTTTCCGAAGGTTGTCGGTTGCGTGTATTCAAGATCACGTCGGATGGTCACCACTGTGGTCGTGGAAGGAAAAGGGGAGATCTCCCGACGGGCAAGGTGTTCTGCCCGGGGAGCGGCTCACACTCCGTGTGATGGTTTGGAGATGTTCTATATATACTGTTTATGATTCGGAATGTTGATGGCGTGATTTAGGCTTCGGTGAGTTTCGCTTGCAACGCGACGACAGCACCGCCACAACGGCATCAATTTCGTTAAAAGCGATGTGAAAGCAGGTTTGGATAACCTAAACCTAAACGTAAACTCTGCATATAGTTAACTCTTCTAATTTTTCGTGAAGAAGCGCGGTTTCTATCTTCAGCGTCGCTATCAGCACCCCAATCGGATAACTGAGCCAGCACATCCAAATCACTGTCGTCACTATTACTAGAAAGTATCGATATTTCCATTTTCTTTCTTTAGTAAAATTAACGCTGTGACGAAATCCCCGGTATTTCTTGGATTGCAATCTGCGATCGTTTCAACGGTCAAAACAAATGACAAAATGGACAGATAGGTTATTAACATGCACAAACTGTAATTTGTGTTTATGGACAGGAATGTGTTATGGCAAACACTGAACTCATATGGGTTGAGCGCTGGTTTGATACAGGCATTAAGGTCTCTTTATAGGGACTCTAGTGCTTGTGTCAGGATCAATGGGGTCTACTTGGATTGGTTTGGCATCCAAAAAAGGTGTCAGACAGGGCTGTGTGGCTTCCCCTTGGCTGTTCAACCTATTTATGGACCGGTGTTTGCAAACTTTGAAAGATGAAGAATGTGGGTTAAGAATGGGCGAGTTAACCGTCAAATGCCTTTTGTATGCCGATGATCAAGTCATACTTGCGTCATCGGCGGCAGAGTTGCAAATGATGGTTACATTAATAAACTGGGAATTAAAAGAAAGGGGAATGAAAGTGAACGCAAGTAAGACGAAAGTGATGGTTTTTGAAAGAGAAGAAAGCAAAACGGTATGTGAAATAAGAATAGAAGGAGAGTTGATTGAGCAAGTGGATGAGTTTGTGTATTTGGGATGTGTATTTAGCAGGGATGGTAGATATGATAGGGATATAGAACGACGAGTAAATGCAGGGAATAGAGTGAATGGGGCACTACACTCTATTATGAAGAACCAGAATTTGTCAAAACAGGCACGTATGGTAATTCATAATGCTGTGTTAGTCCCTACTTTAATGTATGGTAGTGAAAGCTGGGTGTGGCAGAAGAAGCACGAAAGTAAAATAAATGCTGTAGAAATGCGGTCTTTAAGGAATATGCTAGGGTGTAATCTGAATGACAGGGTGAGAAATTGCGTGATAAGAGATAAATGTGGTATGCAAGATGATGTTGTGACCAGGATTAAGAAAGGAATGCTTCGGTGGTTTGGTCACGTAGAAAGAATGAATGAAGAAAGAGTGAAAAAGCAAATTTATATGGCAGATGTGAATGGCCGAGTCGGGAAGGGACGCCCTAGAAAAAGTTTATCGACCAAATAGGCGATATTTTGAAAATGGGCCACGTTAGAAGTACCCTTAACCGACGAGCATGTATGCGTAGATATATGGATGTAAAGGAGGCGAAAGAGGTATGTCAGGATCGTGCCAAATGGAAGTCCGTAGTCTCTGCCTACCCCTCTGGGTGACAGGCTTGAGTGTTTATGTATTATGTAAACTGTAATTTTCGTTGATTCGCCCTCTATAGGATAGATTGATTTTAAAGATAGCAAATTCAATGTACAGATCGTTTATTGGCACGCTTTACCCATAAAATGGATTAAAATACCAATCTGAAATATCAGCCTTTTTTTAAGGTCAAGACAAAATACCTTCATTAATTACGACTGAGGTTTAGGTTACTCTGGTATTATAACGAAGATGAAACAGAAATCCCTTAAATGAATTTTCTCTCAAACTCGACAGACAGCCAAACGAGTTATCTAATTACTTAAAATCTTAAATTTATTCGCTAACAATTATAAGTAACTGCTGTAGTCAAAATATCCAAATTGCCGCTTCAATAATTTCTTGAGCAATCATAGCTTGTTGTCAAAGTATATTTTCACAAACACTCGCAAAATATAAGATGCAACAATATTACAGTTTGTAATAAAATAATAATTGAGTCACACCTGCTGACGCTTTGTGTAGTTAAAAGAATATTATCATAACCAATTTGAAAGCCTCGTGTTGCCACGCGCAAATAACAGAAAAAGATGTATCAAGTGAGGCAAATTTCGATTTCTTTGTAATGCAAATTGTTTTAATATTTAGGTTAACAAACGAGAACACAGTTCACATGATGGTAAGTGGATGCTGTGCCCCATAGAAATCTAAATACTTTGTCACCCACGAGGACTACATAGGAATGTCTCGTTTTCAGTAAAAAAGTTTTACCGGTTCTATACACTTACAATTCAAAATACTGCAGCATTAAGATAGATAGCTAAATAGATAATCATTTACAGCATTTAAAAAAATTTGTTACATTAATGGAAAACTTATAAAGAAATAGTGGTCATAAATAAACTACTGCTTTACGCTGATATCACATTTGCGTTGTAGGAGTGGCCGATGGTCGGTGAGTATCGGCCTACTAAGTTCAATATATGAATAGAGTCTTCAAACTTACATTAGTCTCGTATGCTTATTTATTAACTAATAAATGTGCTCTTTAGTTTTATCACAGTTTTCAACTTCAAAAATGGAGGAAGTTCTCAATTCGACACGTATTTTTTCGTGTATACGAGTATGTTACACAATATTTTAATCATTTGTAAACCTTGATCGAGCAAGTAGATGAGTTTGTATATTTGGGCTGCGTATTTAGCAGGGATGGGAGATATGATAAGGATATAGAACGACGAGTGAATGCGGGAAATAGAGTAAATGGGGCCCTGCACTCTATTGTGAAGAGTCAAAATGTGTCAAAAAAGGCATGTATGGCAATTCACAATGTTGTGTTGGTCTCTACTTTAACGTATGGTAGTGAAAGTTGGGTGTGGCAGAAGAAGCACGAGTGTAGAATCAACGCAGTAGAAATGCGGTCGTTAAGGAGTATGTTAGGGCTGAATCTGAACGACAGGGTAAGAAATTGTGTAATAAGAGAAGAGTGTGGTTTGCAAGATGATGTTGTGACCAGGATTAAGAATAGTCCTCTTGTATACAAACTAAACTCAAACTGCACCGATTGAGGCTATGAAAATTTTATGTATTCCTTGTAAAGTAAGCAGCTGTCATGCTAGCACTGTAGTTGCAACATTGCCAGAGGAACGTGACTCCGCGTTCTGCAGCCTTGAGTAATTGAGTAATTTCTATGAATTTGTGCACAAAATTCTGCACAGAACATAAATCACTTAATGTTTTAGACATCGAGACGTATTCACACTAGCAATGTAATGTGTGTAGAATGGGTTATATTTTAAAAAAATGTAAATTCTTAACTTATTAGTGTATATTGGAAATCATTATAAAGTTTTGTTGGCGTTACTAAATAGAATATCATCGTTAAATAGCAGCTCTTTGTTGCTGAGTTACTTATGACGAGTGTAGAGAACCGGAGAGCACTTTCACTGGTAATGACACATTCCATTTGAGGCCTCAGATGTGACTATTTTTCATGTAGCAATACTTAATTGGGGATAAATGTAGGTGTCTATAGGCAACAGCATCCATTTACAATCAGGTGTTTTGTTTTCTCGTTGGTCGCCTTGTTTCTTTTATATAAAATTAAAATTAATAAAATAAAAAATATGGAACCCAACTACCAAGGTTTTATATATATATATATATATATATATATATATATATATATATATCAAATTTTAAGACCAACACCTTTTTATATAAAACAAATATCCCATGTAAATAATCTGACTAGATTTAAAGTAAATTTTACATAAAACTTAAGCAATTTGCTTTGTCAGCATAAACCATCATCTCAAGTGAACACAACGCTCATAATAATATTGAACCGATTAAATCTCAACAGCCCATTAAGTTCAACGGTTCTGTCTCTTTATATCTCAGAGAACACTGGCGTAAAGTAGCAGCTTAAATGCCGTTGTGTTTTGTATGTTGAGTGTAGAGAACCGGAGACCCTTTTTACTGCAAACGAGGCATTCCGTCTTAGTCCTCAGGGTTGACAACGCATCTGCAACTTGATTCTTAATTGACGATAAATGCAGATGTATAGACGTCTACATTTCTATTATCTTTTGCCACAGCATCCACTTACCGTATATATGGACGGTATGCTCGTGTGCTCATTCTATAAAAAATATGCTGCTTAGCCCTTCTTTTATTTCATTACCCTCAGTCGCCTCTTAAGAAAGAGAAGGAGTGATAAGTGGTAGTTAATTCTCTTATTTTACGCTGCGATTCTGTGAGAGCTTGCTCCTTAACAGGACGAGCCTAGCCTATCCATTCTTGCTACAGCCATAGTCGAGTACATATTATTATTGTAATTAACTTAATTTGTATATTCGTAGCAACAACCAACAAAATAAATAAAGAGGCTCCTTTCCTTTGTGTTCTGATCAAATAAATTGCGAGTCGATCCACTTTTCAACTTTGTTAGCATTCAAAATTGCTTTTACAACTACTTTTGTAAAATAAACGTAAGCTCGGATACTAGAAGAACTTGATTAAATAGGTTTGCTTAGCACTTTAAATACTACTTTAAGTGTGTTTACATATTTAGAATCCAAAATCATGTTTACGTCTATCGATTTCCTACTATAAGCAACTTTTTGCAATTTTAAGTATGAGTTTTTGATAACTGACAATTGGATAATCGTATATATGGAAGAAACCTGTTTACAGAAGTGAAAATCACCCGCACTGCTTTTACCGTTACACATACGAAACGAAGGCAAAGAAATGTAAGCAGAGCAGTCGCAAGTAGCGGCCAACGATTTAAACAGGCCTGCAAATGTAGGCCTAAAAATGCAGTTCCTAGTGGAAAATGGTTCGGACATGTGCGTTTTTCCCTAGTTAGCAGTCAAGACACCCTATTCAAAATCCAAGTATGACCATAAGCTATGAAGCTGCTAATAACACATCTACGGACTGGTTATGCTACATCTTTATTTAGGATTGAGACGGATATTTACATGAAACTTCACAGTAGCCGATGTGACACGACCGATCATTGGAGTGCACTTCCGTAGCTACTACGACTCTTTTTGCCTTTTTCTGTCAAACTCCATACTTTTCATTTTAATTCGCATGTTTTCGAGAAACATATTTTGTAAAACGGATTAGAGCTTCAAATTTTTGGCTTTATTGTGTTACAAGACAGTAAGTGACAAAACCTTAAGAGTATCTTTCTGTAGGTTGGATGAATTGTTATCTTAAACATCACATTCCAAGTTTACGAATCGGTGTGTACAAATCAGGTTTTTTTTTAATTT